AACCACAAAACCCAAAAACCAGTGCAGATTGCTACCACTTCTGGCAAGCCATTCAAGAAAATTTCGCTAACATTTTCTTCACCTTTGCCACTGTAATTTGTCTCACTCTGGAAAATCCCAGTTTTGTATCCCCTGGTTGCACTCTCATTATTTCTGAAAAGCTTKAACAGACTGGACTCCCAGCTCAGGGCTGCTCTGCTGAGGTTTGAGGGTTTCTCCAATGCTGTCCAGGCTTGGCCAGCCAGGAATTSTCACAGGGACTGTCCTCCTGTCCCAGAGCAGTCCTGTACTTTGGTACCACATCCATGCTATCTGACTAAAGCYTTTTACATGGATTTATTTTGAATTTATTCATGAATGTATTTTTTCAATACAGTCACTTATTTCACCTCAGGTAGGCTGATTGCATTCTTARTTTGAAAGATCAGTAAAAGAACTGAAAAAGCTTGAGGTGTCTTAGTCACCAGTTTCCCTTCTCCCAAAACAAAAGGAAAAAGATCTTCAACTTTTTTTTTCTAGAACAAAGAGTATGGTGAAATAACTTGGTTGAAAACTGAGGGCTGGTAAAGTTTCAATGGAGAAAAAAAGGCTCTAAATACTGCTAGAAAGGGCAGGTATCACTGAAGTTAGAGGCACTGTGGATCCTTTATCAGTGGAGTCCTTAAATTAAGATYATTATTCCAGTGTTATGCTGGAACAGATGCACTTGTTGCCTTTGTGCTGAAAAAATGCTTTGGTTTCTCAGCTTCTGTTATACAGAAAGTGAGAGCAGCCACTCACTGCAGGCTCTTTTGGCTTTAAAAACCCATGAATCAGTTCAGTGGCTGTTTGTCCCTGTGTTGAGTTTTGTACTCCCTGCAGGGCACCTCCCGTTCAGCTTTTTGTCACACCCCATGGGGTTTTTGGGAGCCAGCAGCTGTCTGAACTTTTCCATTTTGCCCTGTTTTTCTCTGCACAGGGGGTTATGAGTATCCTTCTCCTCCACCTTACTCCTACCGAGAAACCACCACCATCGAGCAGCCGGGTGAGTCTGGGACTGCACTTCTGACAGCACTGCATGCCAACARCACTGAAAAGGGTTTAGATTTGAAATGGTTTTAGTTTTAAAATCAACAGACAAGATGGGATTTTTCTGACCCAATCACCATTTCATAAGCTGGAAAATTTCCACAGAAATCTCAGAAGATAAACAGACTCAAATTTGGTTTTCCAACGTTAGACAATCTACACAAGCACCCATTAAAACAAAACAAAACAAAACAAAACAAAACAAAACAAAACAAAACAAAACAAAACAAAACAAAACAAAACAAATAAGCCAGAAGCCAAGGCTTTCAGAACAAATCATTTTAAGGCCAGTGTTCTTCTTCTTGTCACCTTCATGGAAGTGGAGAAGCTTAAAGGACATGCGGAGGAAATATTTCAAAAAACAGTCAATAACATCTTGTACWGGAGGAAAGGAGACATATACATTCTTAAAAATTCCTAAAAACACTTAACTCAGACATGCTACATCCTGTCTATCCAATGGATATCTTCCCACTCCTCAAGTTTTGCCTCAGGCGGTGTGAAATTGTACCCTAAACTTGTTTTAGGATCCTTAAAATGGTATTCTTTTACTGAAAACATTTCTGAAAAAACATCCTTCATGTACCTACAAAGGGCATGTCAGTCAAGCCTAGACTGAAAAAACACGAGCTAGAGATGAACTGGGGAGAGCACCAACAGCTGTTTGATGGCACTTCTGTGTCAGAATCACTGCTCTGATGAATTTCTTGTAAGTATTGAAAAGTTGATCCTGAAAGTTCCTCTATATCCTTCAAATCTCTTCTTCAGGGAGAACAGGCTTTTCCCTATTATTTTAAAAATCAGAGGATAAATTCTCAATGTCAGAGCACATCCACCAGCGGGTGGTGGGGACTGTCTTGCTCTGGGGATTATCCCACAGACAATTCCCTGTGTCTGTCCTTATCCAAACAAACACTGGCTGCTTTTGGAAGGAACATTTTGGGATACAGAACAAGCAGCACAGTGAAAATGCACCTGAAATCAGCAATAATGACATGAATGCCTATGTTAAGAACCCACATTCTCCCCCATTTTATAACTTGTAAAATATTTCCTATGCTTCTAATGTGTTTTTTTCCCCTCTCCTGTTGCACTCAGTTTATTTGGTGTCCCAGCCCCCCATCATCGTGGCGGGGATTTTCTCCAGCAAACCAACATCCACCATCTGCCCTTCCTGCCGCCAGCACATCACCACCCAGGTCACCTACAGGCTGGGCAAGCTCTCCTACCTCCTGTGCACCAGCCTGTGCATGGTCGGGTAAGTTTGCATGGGCATTTTGCAGATTTAGCACAGCAGAAGGTTAAAAATGAGTAATTAAAAATCAAAGTGCTAGCTAGTATTCATACAGACAGTTTGCCCTTCTCCACTCGATAAGGAGCCATCCTGTCCTTTCTAGATACAGCCATCATGGCTACAGGGGATGCAAACTTGCTAAATTTAACCCAGACTGTTTCACTCTTCATAAGACAAGCAGAAATTAGTACAACGTTGTCTACTTCCCAACTGTAATTTAGAATCAGGCTCAGAAACAGACTCATGCATAAGACGTCAGCAGCGAGGAAGATTAATTTTTTGGAAGAGACTTTAAACATTCATAGTCTTGGGAAGGAACTGGATTCATGCAGGAAAAATACAGCACAAGGGAGGGAAAAACCACAGATGTGGCCAGCAGCAAGGAAAAGCAGTAAATATTCTGTGCATGTCCATCTCCCCTCTGGCTGCAGGTGCTGCTTCGGRTGCTGCTTCGTGCCTCTCTTTGTGAAGGTCTTCAAGGACGCAGACCATTACTGCCCSTGCTGCCAGTTCCACATTTATAGATACAAAAGACTATAGAAACTMACTTTATGCAACCAGATGATAGAAAGCCTCCATTTCCTAATGGCATAAGATTCTGCACACAAAACTACTGCTTGGAAAGCCACAGGAGCGTGCTGAGGTTCTGCAGCTCCCATGCTGGTGAACCCACCTGGTAAACTGCAGTCCATGGTTGGACTGGCTTTAAAACAAAAAAACACTTCAAGAAATATTTGCACTGTCAGTTTATTTCTATCTGCTTTGCTGCCCTGTGCTGCGAAGTTTCCAGCTGGTGAATACTTCAGCTCCTCTCAAACCTGCACCCAGCTGGGACAGCGACTCCTCTGGACCTTTCAGCCCACCTCTAACCAAGTTTTGGACGTGGATGYTTCAGAGAAACTCTCACCCTCCCTGCACTAGAACTGCCTGGTCAGGATTTAATTTCTCTCTGCTCTTTCTCCTACAGGACCTACCCCTGCAGGGCTGTGGGTGGTACAGTGTAGCTGATTATTTATTAACTAAACACTAAGTTATGAGACTGTCTTTACTCTGTTATAGATGAGGCAAGGAAATAAAGCTGTTACTGTTCACAAAGCTGATAAAACATCTGCYGTGTGCATTGCCTCTGTGACCCCCTTGCACCCAGAGCAGAGATGCAGGGCACTGGAACACCCCCCTTACATGAACAGGTTACAATCCAAAAGGGAAGAAAAATAAAGAAGAAAAATCAGCAAACACAGTTGAAAAAAGTCACCACAACCTCAACGTAAGGCCTTTATTTTACCTCTTGGCCGTCTCACTGCAGTGCATCATCTCCCAAGCCAGGACTTTTTAGACTTTACCTTTCACTTTTCTTATGAAATCAAATATCTGCCATTACAAAGCCCAGGAGGTGCCCAGAGCAGCTTATTGCTGGCTGGAAAACAGAGGAAGAGAAGAAACCCCTGTATTTCC